TGAAAACAACAATATTGTTATGCGAAAAAAACTATATTGCTATACGAAAACTACTATATTAAATCAACTACAAATTATTGAAATTACCAAAAACAAAAGCAAAAACCACACCAAAATTCCAACAAAATCGACTCTTATTGAAACTAACTATAACGGTAACAAAAACAACTATATCGTTTTGAGAAACACGAACACAATTTCAACAAACGAGCCTCCTAAACAATATCTCCTCCTCGAGGTCAATCTATTTCATTAGAGTGATGGTGGAAGCAGTCTTGCGACGAGGATTGCCGGAATGCTTCAAAAAACTGAAGAACAAAACAAAAAGAAAAAAAATACCAGCAGATCTGCTCATCCCTCGGAAAGGAAGGGGGGAGAACGGAAAGGCCGCTGCCCATCCTAGATTTGGCGGCGTCGCCTTGTCGTTGTCGAGATATATATGGTGCCGGCTTCGTCCTCTCCTTGCCCCCGCCTTCGCCGCCGCCAGATTCCCAATTCGAGAAAGAAGAGGAGGGGGTCTTCCTCGTCGTTGTTGAAATGTAGCGCCGCCTTCGTCGCCTTCACCGCCGCCGCCATCGCAGCTGATACCACTGAATTTCAGTTCCAGAAAAGAAGAGAAAATGTGATGGGAATTACAAGATGACAGTTTGTTACGGACAATGTGACTAGGGTTTGTAAATATAAGATTTGGTAAATAGGGATAATATAGGTATAACACTTAATAATTGTATTAATATTAATTTAATTAAATAATTAAGGGGTTCTCACTAATAATGAAAAGGAGGTTATATCCACCGTGATATAAGTAAATGAATTGGGGGGTTTTCACTAATTATCTCTACTTTTAATTATATTAAGATGGATCAATCATATTTTAGTTTATTAGTGAAACCCCCCTTACGTATTAATTCAAAGGGTAAATAGCATTAAGCCACCTAAACATTTTAAATTTTTGCGGATCACCACCTGAACAAATTTGCTTTTTTGCAGGAGTTCACCTGCAATTAATGAAGTGTGCCACTGTGCCATTTTTTGCCCGTTTTCAGGTCAAAATGACCGGTTCTGAACCCGCACACGTTGCACATACGAAATCCAAGGTATTGTTACTTTTTCCATTTAAAAACCCTAATTGCTTCAATTTTCCATTTATTAGGGTTTCTGAAATGGAAAAGACAACAATACCCTTGGATTTCGCATGTGCAACGTTCGCGGGTTCAGAACCAGTCATTTTGACCTGAAACCGCGCAAAAAATGGCAAAGTGGCACAATTAATTGAGTATAGGTGAACTCGTGCAAAAAAAGATTGTTCAGGTAGTGATCCGCAAAAACGTAAAATGTAAAATGTTTAGGTGGTTTAATGTTATTTACCATTTATTCTACTATATATCAAAGTTCAAAGAGAGAAAGAGTAGGTGAAAAACACACCAGAATTTGCTCTTATGTTTTTTTGTAAGCTCGTTAGATTTACTTTGAGTGAGGAAAACACGAGAGCAGTCAAATGTGTGAGGTGGGGGGTTTTGGGTGTGAGCACTACAAGAAAAAGGTGTTTTAACAACTCTTGATGTGTGTTGTGAAAGGGTTAAGACAAAACGCAACCGAACGTTGTTGACCAACATGTTGTTAAATCCTCGGCACATTTGACAACGTACATACGCTGTAAAACAAGTAAATGTCCGTTGTATAAAATCGACAACAATGTATCATGCATTTTGTCATAGGTAATTAACAACATGCACATGCGGGTAGTTATAAGCTTTATGACAACAAGTCAAAGCGTGTTGTCATACACAACAACAACATTTAAATGCATCATGTCGAAAGATATATAACGATGCACATCACATATTGTTATAGTGTGATTACAAATATTTTATTAATTCATTAATAATATGCTATTCATGTTGTTGTGCAAATTGTATTTATTTTCGGCCTGCTGAACAATAATGCTATTTGTTCACAAATTTCACCATCCATTTACATTTCAAAATCAATTCTTTTCCCTTAAAAAAAATCGAAATGTCAAATAAAGAAAGTAATTCAACACTAAATCGTCAAATTCACAATACCATACATGGTCTAATTGAATAAAAGTCAATCTACTCAAAGTACAGTATGATAGATAAGACTAAAATAATTAATTATTTACATTTAATTACTTGTAGCAGTCTTATAATAACATAGTGTAAACTCACATTCTATTCAAGTTAAAGTTCATTTAATCTTCGATTTCCCTTGTCTTCAGTTTCTTTCGCAACAATGGAGATATTCCAAATCTGTCTAACACCAATGACAAAAAAGGATAGCAATTAAAATGAAATAATATGTGTATGTACCAAAATAACACCTCTTAAAAGTTAAGTTGTCAATGAATAATACCTTCACTTATCATTGTGACAAAACTTCTTGGCCACCCAATTGTACTCAATAAAACATGCAAACAAGAAAGTTTAAATATATTTAAAATGACATGAAATGAGATCACTTTCATACTCACTATATATATATATATATATATATATATATATATATATATATATATATATATATATATATATATATATATATATATATATATATATATATATATAGAGATATATATATATATATATATATATATATATATAT